CACCTAAACCAATGACTTGACATTTGATTTGTAGCAATTCAAAATTTCTATACACACATATGCAACAATTAGGTAGAATAAGAGATGAACAATAAAATAGTAATAAAATAGTTATTTAATTTTATTCCGCAATATAAACTGAATTGCTGAATAGAATAAATTCAAAACAATTTTACAATTTTTGTTGTTAAGGTCAGCGTTCCCACTTGGATGCAATTATATTCATTCGGCCACTTTTTTGACAATTCAAACAATAAAATATTGGAAAATTCTCAAATATTATTTGTTGACTTTACTAAACAAATTTGCAAATTTATAAGAAGATACTGTATTAAATGTATACCACCTTTTTCTGTGCTCACATCTAGAACATTTAAACAAGAACGTACCAGAAATAAATAAATACCATCATAATAAAACTCGAATTGCGGATTTGAGCAAATTAATATTAATTATGAGTTGACTTGTACCAAATGATACATACTTTACGAGGCTGATCGTATATTAGGTGCAATTAATTTATACTTGAACATTAAAAATGCATGTTGCATTAGGAACATGCTTTAAGACATATGTGAATAAAAACCGACTTAAATGTTCTGCAAGTGTATTTTGGCATTCATAACAGTGTCATAAATGTGTTTTCATGTTAAAAATGTACAAACATTTAAAATAATTAAAATTAAATACATTAGTAGTTTTTATTTTACATTTATTCAAATTATAATTTATGCATTTTAAATATTACCAAAATGTCAGAATAAATGTCATTAATTATTATACATATTTAGTTCAATTAACATTTTTTAGTTAATGTTCATAAATATTTTAATTATAATTTTTTGTTCTTATGTGTTTTTTTTTTTATATTTTATGCGGTTAAATTTACATTATACATTCTTAATAAATTTTTGTATTTAAACATAAATTATAAATTATTATCATAAAATGTAATATGCATTTGATTAATTTTATATTTTTATAATATTCTTGTATTTAAAATACATTAAAATTGATTTATTTTGTAATATTTTCATAATAACATCAATATTATTTTCAAATAAATTATGTACACTAAATATAACCTTGTAAAATAGAAATTTCTTATTATAAATTACAATATTTTAATTGAAATTAATTTCATATTAAAAATTTATTTGAATTTAAATTATAATTTAGCTTAATTCTTAATGAAAAGGCAGGAATAACATACTGTTATATTTTATACATGCAGCGGAAATCAGGATATCTTATTTATCAATTAGAAATTTTGATTTGTTAGTCAGATTTAGATTTTTCATTCAGAATTTTTCATGAAAATTGTAAAAAGTATGGGCATTTTGAATTAAAATTTTTAAAAGCAAGCCTCAAAAGCACCTTAAAAATCTATTAAATTAATAAAGAGATTTCTAAAAAAATTAAATTTTTAATATCCTATTCATTTTATTCCACAACTGTATATTTTGTAGCTTGATTTGGACGCGAATTTTTATTTTATATTCAATTTCCACTTCTTCCATACTTTTATAAAAGATTTTATAAAAGAATAAAAAAATTCAAAATATATATGTATGTATGTATATAGTGAAAAAGAAATTTTTTTATGAAAATATTTTGCATAAACAAAACATTAAATATTTGCCAAAAGGATTGTTTGTCTTGATTTATTAAGGTAATTTGTTACAACAATGAAGAAGATTTTAATATTTTCCACTCCACTCCTCCCTCTTCAAACTTCCTTCAACTTATTAATGTTGGTTTTTTGTTGTTAATTTTTAAGGAAATAAAATGAGAAGAAGAAAAAACAAAAAGTGAAAAATAAAAGAAAATTTCCTAAGAGCAATTAAATTGTTTTTGTTTTTCACTTTTGTTTTTATTCTTTTTTAAGTAGACTTATTAAACATCCTTCACAGCACAGTTGTTGTGTTACGTAAATACTATTAAAAATGAAAATAATATATTGTGAGTATGAAAATGTATAATGTAAATGCGATTTACGTATATATATATGTACATACATACAAACAAATCTATTCATTATATGCACATATACAAACATAAAAACTTTGACAATTAATAATTTTTTTGTTGTTTTTTTTTTTTGAAGCAGAAATTAAGAAGAGAAAAAATACAATAAAAATGAAAAGAAAAATTTTAATATTTCTTAAGGAGATTTCTTTATTAGTAATATTATTATAAATTATCTATACATACATTTACATATTGTTATTGTATAAGTATATTATATATAATATTAAGAACCCTAAATTTAACTTAACTTTTATATATAAATATTCTTTTTATACAAATAATATAATAATAAGGATATTTACCTGAAATTGAAAATAAAAGAAAAACCAAAAAAACTTTTTAACGATGGTAACAATATGAGATTTAAGTATAAAAATTATTAAGAGTCTTACCAACCATAGGGTTTTTAGTTGAAAATTAGGTAGTAAAAGTAATGATTTCCTTTTTAGATGCATAATGAATTTTTCTTTACAATTGTATTGAAATTCATGCATATTCACCTTAGATTCGTAATCAGGGGAAACAAAGTGAAGCTGTATATAGAGATGAAAATTGCCTAATGTTTAAATCTTTCGAATATTAACAGCTATTTTAGTAACCAACTTTAATATTAAAGTAAGGGATTTAGTAAATTACAAAATCAAAATTATTAATTGATTGAATTTGGCCCGATGGAGCATCGATATTGTCTATGAAATAATTTTATTAAATTTTACATGGTTTGAATAAATATGCGTGCAGTGTATAAATTTTATTAAATATGCTTGCCGGCCCCTTCTTTACAGATTAAAATTTACAAGAAAATTTATATAACATTATATCGCACCGACCTTGAGGAATTCAAAAGTTATAATGACGTCTGATTAAATACAATTAGTAAGTTAATGACATGGTACTAAATTTTGCATGTTGAGTTTTCGTAATGAATGCATTTCTCCATGTTAAGGAACCGTACACACACTATTTTTAGAGAGAAGTCTGCCTTATTATCAGCGAGTCTGTACACTCGTGTACTATAAAAATATTTATTTGGGTGTTTTGCTCAAATTGCGAATTAATTAACTTCTGGACATTGCCAGGCTTCGAAAACTCAACTAAGAACAAAATTAGCAAGAAAAAATGTTTTTCGAGGTCGTTTCCATTATTTCAAGCAAATTTTTCGTCAATTTAATAAAAAAAAAAATTTCTATCAGATTTTTTTTTAATATCACCATCTCTATTGCACCCCTGTGTTCACAAGAGTGAAATAATATAATTTTATAATTTGATTAATAAAAATATAAATGGGGAAATTAACATGAACTTTAATTTCAACGAAAATTATAAAATTTTATTTTAAAAAGAAAAAATTTTTATTACATTTTAAAGACTTTTATAAAGAATTTTTTTATTTAATTTTAACATTACTATTTTTTTATATAAATAATCTTACGCATACTCAATTTATTTTCTTTAAAACATAAATTAAGTTAAAAATAAATTCTAATTTCTGAAAAGGTTATTTATGGAACAATTTTAATTCAGCTTTTTCAAGAAAAATTAACAATTAATGAGTCAGGAAATTTTAAACTTCAATAAATTTGTAAAATGGGATTATTCTGATTAAATAAAATTTAAACCATAATTTATTCATTCAATATTCTAATTAATGTTAATACAAGCTAAGTATAGAAAGTTTGCTGCAGAAAGGTTTGTTAAATGGTAATAAAGAAAATTACGAATCAAATTTCAATATAAGTATACGATCATAGATCAGTTTTACATGAATTTAATTGGGGCGCAACCAATATTTCATATTATTGTTCCGCATTTCCCATAACATGTAATGAATTGTAAATTTACAATTCTTTTGTTCTAAGATTTGTTTACTATAAATTCAACGATCAAACATAGCCACAAAATTTTCTGAAAATATTTCAGTTATCTTCTTCATAAAGTACACCAAACAAACTTACCATCAGTCGATTCAAATTGTAGAACTTATTGGAATTAAATACAAAGCGATTCCAATAAAAATTTTGAATATATTTTTGTAAAGTTATTTACATAAATCACCAAAGTCAGAGTTCACAACTAAGAAATCCTGGAAGTACTGCAATAAATTAAAAATTATAGAAATGAAAATAATTTATTAAATTTTATTCAAAATTTAATATACATATTGGGGTAGATTTATAATTTAAATTTATTTAAGAAGAAAATAATTTCGCATAATTTGATGATCACCCGCAAAACTCTAATTAAATTTAAGGGGCAGTGGTAGACTTGTTAGAAGTTACTGTTATAGACGTTATTAGTGCTTAAACAACTCAGAATATTCTACTAAATACTATCATTTAATAAAATCCAAACCATCTTACAAAACTTCAACAATATAATAGTTTGTTAGTAATCTAGTACAATTAAATTTTATTACAATATTGTATTTTTGAAAAAATTTTTATATATACATATGAAAATTGTAATAAAACTCTAATTAAATTTTGAATCTAAATAGAAAACAAATTTGAAATTATTTCACGTTTTCAAATATAGATATTAAAAGTGTGGATTGAAAGGATTTGAAAACTTTAAAAGGATATTGTAATTCAAATATTTTTTTTATTTATTTATACATACAAACACATTGATTCATAACTAAACACAGAGAATTTAAGAAGAATTTCCTTATAAAAATTGATGTCATTCTTTAGAAACTGTTAATAACTCAAGAAAATATTTTTCTCTTTTTTATTTGGAAGAGATGACAATATTTTAAATTCAAAAATTCACACAAAGGTATATATGTACATTTGTATGTATTTTCTATTTTCTTGTATTTTATGAAAATTCAATACATATGTGCAAAACCTTACAATATTTTCAATTTTTATAGAAAAAATTTGATAAAAAAAAAAAACATTTTCTATTTATTTTATTTCACATTTTTTTTCTAATTTTCTTTTTTCTATTTTTGTTTTTCTTTATAGGTTTGTAGTAAAATATTTGGAAATGCATCAGCTCTGGCAAAACATAAATTGACACATAGTGATGAAAGAAAATATGTTTGTGCAATGTGTTCAAAAGCTTTCAAAAGACAGGATCATTTGTAAGTGTCAAAACTAAATAATAAAGAAAAATAAGTAAAAAAATAATAATAATAATAAAAAGAAATCTAAGATATAAATAAAATAAAAAAAAAAAACAGATAACGACGACGACAACATACTGAGTTTTTTATTGCAATCAAAAAAGTCATAGATTTCACTGTCATGTACAATACAAATCCTAGAAAATTCCTTATACACAAAATGTAATTTTTTATGTCATTCCCTTCAATCTCCTCTCTTTGATATTTTCTTCTATGATTTTTACATTTTGTGTTTTTCGAATTTTTTTTCTCGTATTATTTTTATTTTTCATTTTATTTCATTTCTACTTTTTTTGTTGTCTTACTTATAAATGAACTAAATTCAAAGATCCATATTATTAAATTTGTCCCTCTTTACGTAACACTTGGAAGAACCAAACATAATAATGTACAAGCTGATGCTATCATTACACATACATATACGAATGGATAAGTTTAGGGTATTTTTATTATGTATAGAATTTTCGATCAATATCATGAACAACTTGTGTTCTACATATTCTACGTTATATTTATTTGTATATAAGTATGTTTATAATCTAAATCTAATCTTCTTCTGCACTTAACTACTAATCTTATCAAATACAATGTATGGAATAATTTAAAAATTTATATTGTATATATGTATATGTATATGGAAAATTGAAAATGTAGGGCAAATCTAAATTAAAGTTAATAATATAGAAAAGTTTTTTATTTAAAAATTAAAGTGTTTGCAAAATATATTCATGGCTTGAATTCACTTTAATAAAAAAGTAAAAATTTAAGAAAGAAAAATTTTTATTGAAAAAGTAAGATTACAGATTTGTTTTGGTTTCTATAGAACTATAAAGAGAACTATGATATTATTATTTCAGTCACTTATCTTAAAATTCATGTGAGTAATTTGAACAAAAATAGGGGAGAAATGCGAGAAATTCTATAATAAACATAACAAAATCTAAATTAAATATTAATTTTAAAAAGTTTCATTAACTCTTTACTCTTTATTTTAATAATTAAATTATATTATTCAATTACTAAAAAAATTGCATTAATTTTATGAAAATAAAAATATCTTAATTTAATACAAGAGTTATTAAATTGCTTTTTTATACAACTTGCTCCTAAATATAGGCAATTTTTAAAGTAACTGGCAAACAACGTGATTGTATAAATTTTCAACGTCTAATTATTCATTCTATTATTCTATTCTTTAGCAATATAATTTAAATTTAGTAATATAATTTATATCACTGATAGTTAAATAAGTTAAATTGATGTCATACGTTATATCAGCATTTTGTTACAAAAGTTTCTCGAAATTTGCAATTATTTATAATATTTTACTTTCTAGCAAACATTATTATTGCTCTTTCTTCATATCTTTCTGATTTAAATAATGTTTAAATATTGTTTACTTTTACTTATTTTAAATATTGTTTAAATATTGTTTACTTTAGACTTATAAACGGAAGACTTACAATTATTGCCCCTAATTATATGCAATTTCTGAAATTATTCTAAAATTATTTAGTCATTTTGATTGTTAAAGAAACCACATTAATATTTCGAAGCTAAATTAATTTTTCTTAGCAAAAACCTCCTCTAATATATAAAAATAAAAAAAAGACCTATTTAAGATTAGAAAGATTGACAAATAAGAAATTGAAGATTAGTTAAAGATTGCTTTCAATTTTAGTAGCAAATTATTTGCTAATGGTAAAAAACTCAATAATTTTAAGTAAATAAAGTGCAAGTTAATTAAATTTCGTACCACTTTTGAAAATTTGGAAAATTTGCTAGAGTAGACAAAAATACGATCAATTAAAATGCATAACTTCATTTGGATTTACCACAATTCATGGAAATATATAATTTTGCTTAATCCTTTCTCGGTATTAAGCAAAATAATATATTTTGTCCTTTAATTTACTCCATTAATTTATTTAATTTTTGTTTTTTTTTTTTGTTATACCAATAAATCTGTATAAAACAAGATAAGAAAATCATTTTTAACTTTTCATACCCTTCAAAAAAAAAATAACAGAAAAATCAAATGAAGCAAATAATTTTTCACACAAGCAAACCATTTGCTACCATCCCCCACTTATTTATGTAAAATGGGTCCTCAACTTCAGAAAATACAATTATTTTTATTTTACATGCTGTTTTTTGCAAATTCTTATTTTACGGTAAAAAAATTGTTAATTTTTTTGTTTGTTTATTTTTTCGTTCTTCTTCTTTTATTCTCTTTAATATAGAAACGGTCATATGCTAACTCATAGAAATAAAAAACCGTATGAATGTAAAGCAGAAGGTTGTGGCAAATCCTATTGTGATGCAAGATCATTAAGAAGACATACAGAGAATCATCATAGTGCTTTAGCAATGACACCCACGACACCAAATCAATCATTGTCACCATCGACTGGACCACCAACTGGTCTTAGTTTATCTCCAGCAACCGCAAGTGGTAAGTAAAAACAAAGAAAAAAACAAAAACAGAAGGAAAACCAAAAGAATAAAAATTTAGAAAATTTTCTGCTTTTCTAAAAAAAACTTTTTTTCACTTTTATTCTTTTTGTTGTTGGTTTTGATTTTGAAATCTTTTTGAATTTGATTTTTTGTGATTTTGTTGTTTCAGTATTGCTGTTATTGCATTTTTTTTTTCTTGTTTTTGTTATACTGAGCTTTATATGATTGTAATTTAGCATGAAAATTGTAATTAAGGTTAAGTATAGTGTATACAATATTGGAAATAACTGTACAAAAATGAGATTTTCATTTTACTAAAGGCTTTAGTAATTGTCCTTTTATTCTATATTAAGAATATTATAGGGTCGACAGAAAATTTTCATTTTTCTATTGTTGTTTTCAAGTTTGATTTTTTGATTTTTTTCTTTTTTGGTTATCACAATTCAATTGCAATTATTGTTACTATGAGAAATGGTTTTTTTTTTGCAATAAAACATTGTAACAAATATTTAGCAAGTCTAATTTACAGTTATAATGACTAAAATTTAATGGATTTCAAAAATCATTGAACTTAAATACATTTTCAGTTTGATTTGAAATGTTACAGAAAATTTTGGTATTGTCAATCATATACTGAGAACTTTATGTAAAAAATAAACATTATTAAAAATTAAATTGAAGCTTCGGGCGGATATAGAAGTTTAATTACGTTAACAAGATACTAGTATCCCATAAATGTTGCACAAATGTGGTATAATGTGACAAATTACGTCTGTCTGGTATGTTGTCATTCATTATACGAGGCCTTTATTATGTTCTTCACTGATTAACAAAATTTTATTCACAATGGAATATTTTAATCTAGACTGATTTAAAAGAACTATATGATTTGAAAAACATGATATGCATTTGTTTAATTTATTTCACAAATAAATTTGAATTCATTAAAATATTGAAGCAACTTTCATCAAAGACAACAACCACGTTTTATTTTCACATAAAATATCACTCGATTATATTTAAGAAATTTACAATTATCAAGTATTTATATATATATTTAAAAATTAAAGTCTTAAATTTTGAAATTTCAAAAAATATAAAAAAATTTTTGCAAATCACAGTTAAATTTTGTAATATATGCAAATTGACATTCGCCTTAAGACAAAAACCTAGAAGAAAATCACACTGCATTGTTTTTACATTAAAAAAAAAGTTATAACTAAAAACAAATTTTAATACGATAGCTGTAAGGTTCAACAACATGCTTAAAATCTATACTAAGAAAAAACCAATGTTATTAAACACAAATTTTTATACATACATTTATAGTATGCCTTTCGTACTCAATGTATACCTAATGTTTTAAATCTAAAACTTATTTTTGAACTGAAATTTTAAACAAAATATTCTAACGGAGTTATTGTTTTTTTTTTTCCTCTTGTCTTTTATTTTTTATTAAATTTTTTATTCTTCAACATTTTTATCCTTATCTATATTATTATACTCGTATATAAAGAGTTATACAAACATTAAAATTATTGTTATTATAATAGGTGATGCTAGTTCTCCGCATGGTGCTAACTGTGTACAATATATTACAAATAATAATAGCGATGGTGGCAGTGGTGGTAATAGTAATAATAATGGTGCAAACAATTCAAAACCATCATCACCAAGTTCACCTGCATCTGCAGGTAATGGTAATGATGGTCTTACTAGACAACAATTGGATCTCATTAGTCAAATTATGCAACAAACAAAACAGGCTAGTGCACAAGTAACAGTTTCAACAAGTCATAATGGTATAAAAAATCAACATCAACAACAACAACAGCAACAACAGCATCAACAACAACATCAACAGCAACAACAACAACAGCAACAAAATCATCAACAACAGCAGCAACAATCACAACAACAACAAACATCACAAAGACCAAGAACATGGAATATGCAGGTGAGTGATTTTTTTTTTTTTGCTTTTTTTTTTAGTCTTTTGTTATTTTTTAAAATGCATTCGAGCAATATTTTGTATATATATATATATATATATATATATACACTATATTGAGTGTATATACACAGAATATGTTTATATTATAAAATGCATTTTTGTATGCCTAGATGATTTTGCCTTGTTATACAATGTCTTTAATTAAAAAGAAGAAAAAATTAAAATGTAAAAAAAAATTAAAGGGAAAACATTATTTTTTTGAATTATAATCCGTTTATATAATATGTAAAGAGAAAAAAAAAGAAACAGCAAGTATGCTTGAAGGATGTTGACTATCATAAATAAGCGAATGTATACAATCTAATGTTGTGCAGTTAAGGTGTCGAAAAATATGCTTAAGAAGAAAAAAAAGTACATGGAGAAAATTAATTTCTTAATGTGATGAAAATTTATAATAACTGTAATTATGAATATTATAAATAGGTAAAAGTTGGTTAAAACTTTCAAACAAACATATTATTTAAAAAGTACACAGTTATGCTGTAAATGATGGCATCTTGAAATTTTCTATAAAAACTTTTATTGTTATATTAATCGTTTAAGAGTTTTATATTTAAAATTTCTGCTGACTTTTTAATTTATTTTAAAGTCGTCAAATTTATTTCATTTCGAAGTTCTATACACTTAAATTTTAAAAGTATCTTTAGTTGAGATTTGATTTTAACAGAACCCTATAGTTTTTTTCCCACATACAATCTGCAAAAATTCGAGCAAATTTTTTAAATTCACGTGGTTTTTCCAAAACATTAAAGTGTTAAATGGATTTTGTACTCAGACCAAATCCGAAATTTGAAAAATCTGTATTTTTCATTGAGGCACATGAGCTCAGACTCAAAGCCTGGAAAAGTTTTGTTTTTGACTCGAAATAATTGCAATTTTATGCTATTATGTTTTGACTTTAAAATATTTACTTATAGAGATTTCCCATTATTCAAGTTTTCTTAGAAATAAAATATTAAATTATTGATACTGTCTCTATATAAGCTTATTACAAATTACAACACATGATAAGTATGTATTCTAAAGCCTGCTTTTCTTTCACAAACATTGCTTTTATCAGAATTTTTATAAGAAAAACATTCTACTTGCGGGTCTGAGAGAAAATTTTCTTTTTCCAAATCAAAAGAAGTGAATTTTCCATAATAATCAAATAAGATTTTTCCATAAAAAATTGTGACCATGAACCTGAACATCAACCGTATTACAAATTCTCAGTTAACACAATAAACCTGATAGACTTATGGGACTGGTTTATTTAATATTTAATTTTGAGGGTTTCACAAGTCTCAGCTGTTGCTGGAGCAATATTGATTATTAAAAAAAAAAACAAGCTAACATTTGGATTTGCTGATGAATTTCCTAATTTTTGTTAAATTGGTTGCTTTAAAGCATCATTGAATACATAAGACTACAAATATTATAATTCTATAACAATAGAGGAACGTTAATTTAAAATTATTTTATTATACAATTAAAAAAATTATAATTCATTTTCAAATATATTGCAAAAAAATATTATATCTAATACATTATTCACTTAAAATTTAAATTAATTAAAAATGTATAATTAAAATGAATTAAACGGTTAGGAAACCAGCAAAATGATCTTTAATCCATAAATTTTAAGCCTAAATGAATTCATTTTTTGCCGATTACGTACATTAATTTATCTTTTTTCCCCCTCATTGTACTTTGTAATAAAAAAATTTTTGTTTAAGCAAAAAAGAACACTTAAATCAATCATTTAAGAAACCCCATGAATAGCGGAAATTTCTGAAAACCTTACACATATTTTACTTACACATTCAAATTTCACAAAAAGTGTAATTTTAATTTCCCAAAAAAAAAATAAAGCTAAACGATAAAAGGGTTGAAAACCTCAATTATGTTTGCGCTTATTTCAAACCATAACCTATATATATATATAGCTTACCTATAAATACACACCCTTGTATATAAACACATACATATATATATATAGGTAAACAAATAAGAAAAATGGAACCCTTCAATAAAATATTTCAATTTATTTTCCTTAAAGCTTCAACAGTCCAGCAAATACCAAATTATAATTAATTGATATCATTATCCTCTCTATATCTAACAAAAAAAAAATAATAATAATAAGAAAACATTATAAGTAACTACTTAGGATATCCTTTCAATGCATTTCATTTTGGGGGAAATTTATTTATTCATGATAATAATATTTATTACTTAATCTTTCTTTTTTCTTCCTTCTAAATTCTTCTCAATATTTCTCTTTAAATACCCATTATATACATATATAAAAAGGTATATCTACACACTTTTATTAAAATTAATCTAAATTTAATATATTAACCTCTTCATACCCAAAACTGTCAAAAAAAAAACATAGATATTTTGTCGAACGAATTGAAATTTGAAAATTTCATGAATCCGATTTGATTTTGAGGTAAAAAGTATTTTAGTGATAAAATTCAAGGGATTTGAAATAAATGTAATATGGTCTTCTTAGTAAACTTTAGAGAGACTTACTGTGAATTGTATATTAAATTTTTTGAAAGAAACAAGAAAATTATAACCAAATGTTCAATAACTCATGAATTTTGACACGAGTAAATTAAATTTATTTAAAGTAAATTTTTTTTAAGATTCACATTACCTTAGACACAAACCGATGAAAATAGAAAATATTCTTTAATTTATAGGCAACTAGGTTAATGAAGAAAATATTAAAATAAAAAAAATTGCTTACAAAACTTATTAACAATTTTTATTATTCAGTTTATTTAGTATAAAATAAAAGTTAAAAATAAAAAATTTAAACTAATCATGGTCAAGAACCATTAAATAATAATAAAGGGTTCTATTGAGTAATTTCAAAACGTATGATAGTGAGTGGTTCAAGTCATGAATAGTAGTGTGTAATTCAAGAAGGGTTCTAGTGAGTAATTTCAAAACGTATGAGAAATTAAAGAGATCTCCCCACCCAAGAGATGTAACCTTGTATATTTAATCCAATTATTAAATTGAAAAATATTAAGTTTTTTATTTTTATTAACATGATTAAGCTTCAAACCTACATTATATAAACCAGAATTTTAATCCTAGTATATACGCACAAACGCTGGTAGTGTGAAAAGTGAAAAAGTGAAAAATTTAAAAGTTAGAAAAAATAAATTTATCAAAATGAAACTAAATATTAAAATCATAAATTTTCCTGTTTTTATTTTTTGCTTTTTGTTTTTTTTTTGCAAACATTTTTTAATAATAAAAGTAAAGTATTGCCTGCCAGTAGTTGTAAGTTAACAGAAATCTGTAAAAAAAAAAAGTTTATTTTTTAAGAAAATGAAAAAAAAAAAAAATAAAAAAAAATGGAAAAACGGAAAAGAAAATTCTCAATCAAAAGTTTATCCATAAATTTCCATTTTGTTGGTTTTTATGCCTTAGTTTTTTCTGATTATTTTTTACTTTTCCACTCTACTTTGAAAATGAAAAATTTCCTACTTTGCAAATAACGCTACACAAAATGTATAACAGTTTTTCTTCCTTAAGTTGTTTTCTCAATTTTTTTTTTGTCTTATTTTTTTTTCTTTTTTTTTTCAATATTATTGATATTTAATATTTATCAGGTCACGTAAAATCATTATAGGCATTTTAGAAATGTACTCCTAATTTATTTTATTGCTGATAATTTTTTTCTTTTCCTTCTAGGGAAAAATTTTCTTTAAGAAAAGTTTTGATACTTTTATATTTTTTTTTTTAACTTGCCCTCTAATAGTCCAGTATATATAATATTAATACATATAATATATTATACCGTATAATATTTAGTGGGATCCTTCTCACGTAAAAAGTTTGTTCTCTTTTACATTTCTGCTTTTTTTTTTTGATTAACTAGTCTCGTCCAGATTATGCTTACTTTAAATAACTCTTAAGATGAGATAAGAGTTTATAATATTATATAAAATTTTTGTTGCCTTATACAAAATCTATTGAAAAATATACAAGTTTTCGCATACGCTTAATAAATATAAATAATTTGAAATGAACATTTTGATAAACTTTTAATATACAAAAATATACTATTGCACAATCTAGATTGTAGATATAATATATATTGAAGGAGAAAGTATATAGAAAAATTATAATAATAAAAAAATTGGATATCTAACTTTTCTTCTATAAATATTTCTGATACCGCTCAAGTCCTCACATCCTATACCAAAAGCATGAAAATTAACCTCATTTTTAAAATAAAATTTAATTTCCTTCTAATATGTATATGTACGATATAATTCTCTATATAAGGTAATAATATTAAAAAATTGTATAAAATTTATAATTGAGATTTCAGAAATACAGTCGATAATATGAACACTCTGTAAAATAGTCATTTAAATTGTTTGAATCAAAAATTCTAAGTATTTGATTAGAACTCTAAAAATCTAAAAATTTAAGAAAATTTTTGTACATTATAGTTTAATTAAAATTACATTATGTTGTTGCATATTTATGGGAGGAATAACGGTAAAAAGATTTATATTTCTGTAACTAGTATTTGTATTACACGGAGTTCATCCATAGTTAAGGTGATTAAACATAATTTTTTTAAGAAGATGACGAGACCAGTTGACTTCTCGCCTTATTAGAATTTGTATTTAATTGAAACAACATTAAACTTAAACTCACTTTCTAACAATTCGTGTAGTACAATGTACACTCTTTGGAAAAAAAAACAAAGTTGCACTATTAGAAATTTGAAACCCTTATTTATTTTACACTAATTTTTAAGTTCCAGGAAAAGTTGTAAAGTTTTATGTTTCACTTTATTCAATATAAAATTTTTACAATATTTTCTGAACAAAATCAATAAATTTTTATTTTATAATTTATTAGTCTGTGACGTTTATTAAATTAAAAAAAATTTTTATTCATATTTTTTTTTAAATTTTTTA